CGACGCGAGCCTCGTCCATCTGCGACTGCCAGGCCGCGCGCCTTGACTATCTTGAGAACTTCGCCCTCGCAATGCCACCTGCGTCTGCGGCGAGTCAGCTTAAGCACGCACGATGTTCGCCCAAGCTGTGTCGGGCTTCGTCGAGACCAGCTGCCAGAAGGTCTCGTCGCCGGCTGCTCCAGCCGCGCCAGAGCCTCCCTGGGGCGCCACGGAGGAATGCACAGCGGTATCGCAGGCAAGACAACCTCGCTCCGCGCTACCATGATATACGGTATGTCCGTTTCTCAGCTTGAGTAATATATGGCAATGGTAAACAGTACACGTCACGGCATGCATATCCGAGAGCTACCCGATCAGTGTCGTCCAAAACAAATTCGCTGGAAGGCTAAAGTCAAGCATGCAGTACATGATGCAAACAAACGATGCATGAACCTTGAGGGGGCTGATCGATTCCGTGAACTGCAACAACGGTGACAGAGAAATCGCATGTGAGAGTGACAGAAGGCAATACCACACATGAAGTCGTGATGAGGTCAACAGCTTGGACACACATTGACTGACACATCTACCGCCCAAGAGAAAGCGTCATGCAAACGCCTGGGAACGATATGCGGGCGGTCATCTGCGGAGAAGAAGAAGATCGGGAAAATTAGCCCGACGGCTGCGACACAAAAGAACTGGTAGCTTCACCCTGGCATGGCAAACCTGATGGATTGCTTGCGCTTGTGAACAGATTGCGGAGTACCGTCTCCAAGAATGACCGTCCTGACGACTGTAGAGAACGCGAGCAATCGAGCATAGTAACCGTGAAAGCAAGACCTTGAGGCGCCCTCGGTCCACAGGTGCCAAGCCAGGCGCCCCAGCATCATAGCGGCGCAGGCCGCAATGCAAATAAGCTCCACTTGGTGGACAATACCAGGGAAGCCTGTCACGATCATTGGAGAGATAGGCTTGGCAGCTTGGTACCTAGCTCGTGCGGAAAGTCAGCCTGCCTAACACTCCATGTGGAAAGGCACCGGTGCGAACACTTGAGCCAAAATGGGTACGGACCGTCGTGGCGCCCCCTTGAGCCGTCATTGGGGCTCTCCTGGGCCGTCCGAAGGCCTCTTGGGGCGCTCTTAAAAGTTTATCAGCGCCTCTTCGAAACCCTGGTGGAGTCTCTGCAAGAGCCTTTTTGAGATCCTCCTGGGGCCGCCTGGAAGCCCTCCAGAGATGATGCCGAGACGAGAACTCCACTCATAAGAAAAACTGCAGTAATTTGCTTCGAGCGATCCCCACCGAAACCTTAGGCGTTTGTCCCCGACGGCGCGCGACGAAAGAATGTGAAAGAAACCCCGGGGCGAAAAAAACAAGCTTTGAAAAAGTGTGGTGCGAAACGGATAGAGTGCCGCAGCCTGTTGAAAGAGGAAGATGAGGCATTAGCAGGAGGAGCAGGAGGAGGCGGACGACGGAGGAGGAGAAGGAAGCGGAGGCAGGCGAGCAGGACCTCTCCTCCCTACTTTTCCTCCTCCCACCACTGCACAACTGCCGTTTCTGGATTCACAAACGGTTCAACCGTGTTCTATGTAGTCACGTTCTTTCATGCTATGCTCTATAGTGCCCCGTTCTGTTCACAACGGGCTGGCGTGACGTCGTGACGCCTGTGACGGCAGCTGCGTATGCTCCTCTCAACTTATATGTTTCTCCCCTGACTGAACATGTTCTGTTCTGCTTATATATGTCACAGTTTTTTTTACAAAAAAAACGATGAATATATCTGCTATGTGACACTACGTGACTGCATGATATGGTATGTAAGATTATGATGTGGTGTGCTCGATTATGTGATGATGTTGTCAGCTTGGCTCAGTACAATCTAATATGCGGTGTTATGCTAGCATGGTTCACGACGCTTTGCAGCCGTGCTATGTTATGTTCTGTGAGATTGTGTCATGATAGGATTTGGTATGGTGTGACAATATGTGTTATGGTATCACCGGTTGAAGTATGATAGGTAGTGTTATGTCACCTTACAGTGCGTCATGTTCTGTTATGGTATGTTATGTGACGGTTTGCTGGTTGACGGGTCGGCTCTGCAATGTATATCACGATCTGCTCTGCTAGTAGGTGTCGCTCTGCTCTGACTGTGATGCTGTGACATGGTGTGGTGTGTGCTGTCAAATTGTGTTGTGGTATGTTCAATACTGTTGGATTATGTTGTGTTCGGGCGTCTTATGTTCTGCCATGTTGTGATACGGTATGTTATGTGATGTCCGTTAGGCCCTACTTTCCATGACATTTCTATGGTATGGTATGTCATGATTGTGTTATGATGTGTCTGGTTCTGTTGTGTCATGGTGTGTCATGTCGTGCTCGTCGTCGCTACGCTGTGCTGTCGTGTTATGATGTGTTATGTGATGCTGTGCCATGATGTGATATGTTCTGCCAATGTGTGTTATGATTTGCTCGGCTCTGTTATGTTAAACTGTGGTCTGTCGTCTTCTGCTCTGTCATGCTCTTCTCTAGTCTATTATGAGATGTTATGTTTGTTGACGGCTCGAGTCTGTATAGTATAGTATGATATGTTTTGCTAGAGTGATATGTTCAGGTGTGTAGTGTCATGCTCGGCTATGTTCTGGTTTGTTGTGTGTTGTCGTCTTCTGTTATGGCATTGTGTACTCTGGTATGTTATGAGATGTCATTGCAATTGTCTGTCCTGTCATGTTATGTCAGATTAGTGATCTTCTCTGTCATGCTATAGTGTGTGTGTGTGTTCGTCGTCGCTATGCTCTGCTGTCGTGTTGTGATATGGTTTGTGATGCTGTGCCACGATGTGATATGTTCTGTCAAGGTGTGTGATGGTGTCTTCGGTTATGTTCGATTATGTTGTGTTATGCCGTCTTATGTGTTATGTTGTGCTCTACTTAGTCATGACATTGCTACGGTTCGTTCTGCCATGCTCTGTCATGCTCGTGCTCGTGTTCTGTCATGTTCCGTTGTGTCAGATTGTGTTCTGCCGTGCTCGTCGTCGCTATGCGCTGCTGTCGTGTGATGAAATGTTCTGTAATGCTGTCATGGTATGACATGTTTTTCAAGGTGTGTTGTGTTATGCTCGGTTATATTGTGTTATGTCGTGGCATGTCGTATATGTTCTGTCATGTTCTGCTCTGGTATGCTATGTGATGTTATGTTATGCTCTACTTTGCCATGGTATTGCTATGTTATGTTCTGTCATGTTCTGCCATGCTCTGTTCCGTTCTGTCATGGTCTGTTCTGTCATGCTGTGATCTGTCGTGTTCGTCGAGGGCGCGAGGCGGGACACCTGAGACTCTCGGGGATCATCGGGACAACTTTGGCGTCTGGCGGCCGCGGTATTTCAATGTGGGGTTGGCTTGGCGCGATGCGGGTTGCCCTGGATCATCCGGACAACTTGGGGTATGGCGGCCTCGGTATGCAGGGTGGGGTTGGCCGGGCGCGATGCGGAGCACCCAGGATCATCGGGATAACCTGGCAGTCTGGCGGCGGCGGTATGCAGGGTGGGGTTGGCCGGGGGGCCTGTTCTTGAAATCTAACAACCCCAACCCGTCGGGTGGGGAATAATACAAAGCGGGAGCGTCGTTGTTGTAGGGTGGTTGGTTTGCGGACACAAGGCGTAAATGCCACTCCCAGGAAAAAGCGAGAAGGTATCGGGCGGGAACGCTAGCTTTGTTGGAGGGACGGCGTGGAATAAAAAACGAAAATGCATCAATTGGGAACGTCGCTGTTTTACAAGGCTGGTTTGCGGACCCGAACTAGACACGCCACTCCCCGGTAAACAGCGGGGACGTCTCGAGCGGGAGCGCTGGTTTTACTGGACGGACTATGTTCGCCGACGAGCCCGAGCGCCAGTCGTGATTTTAAACGAGACAATATCGAGCGGGAACGTCGTTGTTGTAGGGGGACTGGTTGGGGACCGGTTTGCGGACCCAAGGCGAAAACGCCAGCCCTGGGCAAACAAAAACATTCGTTATCGAGCGGCGACGCAAGTCGTATTGGAGTGACGGTGTTCGGCGGAGAGCGGGAGTGCCATACCGACCTTAGTGGGCCCTGGGAACGACAGGGCCGTTTTTTTACCGGTTCCGTTTTGCCGTTTTTTTGCCGGTTCCGACGCCGTTTTTTTACCTGTTCCGTCGCCGTTTTTTGACCTGTTCTGGCTCCGGTTCCAATCCTGGAGCCGTTTTTTTGCCGTTTCCATTTTCAAGGGGCACTTTTTCGGAAACGGTGAAAAAACGGCCCTGCCGTTTCCGGGGCCCACAGAGTGCCAGACCCGAGCAAGCAGTGGCACCACATCTCGAGCGGGAGCCACTGTTGCAGGGGGCCCGGCTTGCGGTTTGCGGGCCCGACGCGGGACCGCCACTCCTGGGAAGTTTTGCTGGACGGGCGGTTTTCGGCGGCGAGCAAGACCAGAGACCCGAAGCAACAAGCCAAGAATTGAGCGGGAATTGGCGTTCCCGCCTTGGGTCCGCAAACCAGCCACCCTACAACAATTGTAGGGTGGCTGGTTTGCGGACACAAGGCGGGAACGCCACTCCTGGATACACAAGATAAGTGCATTGAGCGGGAGCGTCGGTTCTATTGAAGGAAGGCCTTCAATCCGCAGCCGTTCTCCTTGTCTTAGTCCCGGGGCTCGGTGACAACGAAAAGAGATGGTGGTCTGTGGGGAAGCTAACAAGTTCTTCAAGGCACCGGTACCGCTAGGACCTCTCCTGGGGTGCGTTCTGACCAGAATTTCGAGGCGAATCCAGCGTTGGCGAAGAGGGCCTCCGAGGAAGCCCAGAAACGGGAAAACGTGGAAAGGGTAGATGTATGGATACCTTTTCCTTCTCCGAGCCTGTGACCATTCCCTCGCTCTTCCCGAGGGTGGGCTTCCGACAGTTTCTCGCCGCCGAGGGAGCACGCCGACGGCCGCGGCCACACCAACGAGACGCTCGCCGCGATGGCGCGCGGCGCCGCCGTGCCCGCCGCGCGCACGCGGGAGGCCCTCAGGCGGTCCGCAGCAGCACGTGGATGCCCTGGTCGGAGTCGACCTCCCCCCGCACCGGCCCGCCGCAGCGGCAGCGAGGGCGGGAAGTTTCGGGGAGACGTACAGTCAACCCGTATCAGAAGGATGCGCGATAAGGATGCAAGGGCCTTGAGAGGCCACTTCGAGACTCTTCGAGCGGGGCGCGGCCAACGATGGACCGAGGAGGCGAGGATGCAAGAGTACCCTTGGGAAAATTGCCCATCCTTAACACGCGGGTCGACTGTACACCCTGCGAAATGCTTAAGAAATCATGGGTTAAGAAATTCATAGTCTCAGAACTTGAATAAAAACCCAAAATTCCCATTCGAATCTTAGGATTTACATTGAAACATTAAGAATAATCGAGACCCTGGCCGAAAATTTGAGTTTTCTTAAACATCGCCTAAGGTGTAAGACTCGGGTTCTTGAGACTCGGGTTCGCCCGACGAGGCCGTCAGGAGAACGACGAGCCCCGAGTGTGAAATTCGACGCGAGCTCCCGCTGCAGCCGCCCCGTGAAAAGAAGACCCTCCACGTCCGAGACGGGCTCGTCAGAGAGCGTCGGTCAAACGAGGTCCGGCGAACTCGAGTCTTACCTCCCCCCGGGAGCTAGCCGCGAGGGAGGAGCGAGGGAGGATGATGGCAGCAGTGCAGGGGCAAGGAAGGAGGGAGGGAGAGAAAAAAGCAAGCGAGCGGGCAAGCTAGGCACGCCTGCGCCATGGCCGGCATCCGATCCCTCCCGCCCATCCCGCGGCCCATCTCTCCATTGCGCTGTTGGGGAGATCAGAAGGTACCAATACTGCTACTCCCCAGACCTCTCCTGGGGCGGCGACGAGGGCCTCCCAGGAGGCAGAAGTGAAAAGAAAACGGGCAAAGGGTAGCGGTAATTATAAGCACCTTTTCCTGCTCTGACCTCTTTCCATTGCGCTGCTTTCTCTCTGCCCGCCGACGCGTGTCATAGCGGACCTGGGGCTCCTCAAGGTGGACCCCCATCGTCTTGTGCGCAGTCGGAGGGCGCATACTTTCGTGAGGGAGGAGGCGCGGCGGGGAAGCGAGAGGGCAGGGCGCGTCAGGGATGGGGGGAGGGGGGGCGGTCGACGGCTAAGGAGCCCACACAAGACATACTTTTTTGATTGGCGGCTCCAAGGACAGCTCCAGGGAGCGGGACGGTCTCGGCTGGGGCACAGGGCGAGATAATTAGCTGCAACGGCGCATAGGCCGCCACACAAGACATACGCGGTGGGCCCATTTTCCACCACCACTACCATAGGTAGGAAAGGGAGAGGGAGGAGGAGGAGGAGGAGGAGGAGGAGGAGGACCTTCTCATCCTCCTTTCTCCCCCGTCCTACATATGGTAGTGGTGGTGGAGCATTTGCCTATCAATGCGCGCCCAGCCACGTACATAAATAACCGTGCCCCCCCGGTCTGCGAGGCCAGCATCGTGTTACGAATCGTTCGCGCAACGCGCCCTTTCGAAACCAACGTGGGCTCATGTACACGTATGAGGGCGCCCAGGGAGACACAACAACACTAGGCACACATCCTAGGATTCCCCATCTGTTCCTCTAGTTTCTGGATGTACGTCTTAAGTCTCAGTTCCAATATGTGCTGCCCGTTTTCTTCGGCATTGAAGTTATTTTGTGTCAGTGGCAATTATTCATGCATATGCGTCCTTGTTTCGCTCCTGAATGGCGGTGGTGCGCGGCAAAAGGGGAAAACAATTCGGACAACGCAAAACGTAGGCTGCCGGGGAAACCAAAAAGGTGCCGATGCCGCTGTCGTTGCTCCCTGGACCTCTCTCGGCGTGCGCTTCCACCCAGGACCTTCGGGGCGGATCCGGCGGTGGCGACGAATGCCTCCCAGGAGGCCGACAAAAGAGGGCAGCGCAGCGGTACGGGTACATGGCTTCCCCCCTCCGAGTGCGCTGCCGCCAGACCTGTCACGGATCGCCAGTGCCACCGCGTGCCTACGTACAGAGGCCTCCTGGGATGCGGTGGCAGCAGCTGGGGCCAGAGGGCCGCACAGCATCCCCGGTGCCTCGGCGACGCCTCGGCGACGCAGGCGTGGGGAAGCACGGGCTCCACGTCGAGCCGCAGCGCCGATGCAGCGCCGATGCGGCGCGATCCTGGGAGGCCCGGAGCCACCAAGACCTGCCACGGGGCGCCCGTACCCCGGCGGTGGACAAAATTCTCCCTTCAGTATAAACCTCCCCTCCGAGAAAACGGCCTGGGACCGAAACCGACGGACCGGGACCCGCAAAAATGACGGCCGCGACGCCCTCTCGCGAACCGAAAACGGCCAGTTCGCTAATCGACGTGTCAGGGTAGGAGGTCTGTCCACCCCCGATGTTGTAGGGTGGCTGGTTTGCGGACCCAAGGCGGGAACGCCACTCCTGGATACACAAGAAAAGTGCATTGAGCGGGAGCGTCGGTTCTGTTGGAAGGATGGCTTTCAATCCGCAGCCGTTCTCCTTGTCTTAGTCCCGGGGCTCGGTGACAACGAAAAAAGGTGATGGTCTGTGGGGAAGCTAAGAAGGCACCGGTACCGCTACTCCCGGGACCTCTCCTGGGGTGCGTTCTGACCAGAATTTCGAGGCGAATCCAGCGTTGGCGACGAGGGCCTCCGAGGAAGCCCAGACACGGGAAAACGTGAAGGGGTAGAGGTATGGGTACCTCCTCCTTCTCTGAGCCTGTGACCGCTCCCTCGCTCTTCCCGAGGGCGGGCCCGCTAATCGACGTGTCAGCGTAGGAGGTCTGTCCACCTCCGAGTGCCATCGCGTGCCTGGCGGGCTCCCGCGAGCGGGGGTGTGGAGCGTCGGCGCTGCGCGCGGGCCCCAAACGCCGTCCCGAGCCGGGGGGGTGCTCGGCCGGTGCAGGGCCGCCTGCGCTGCCTGCTGCCCGGGGGCCATCGCAGGGGGGCAGGTCGACCCCTCGCCCAGGCCTCGTGGGGTTCTCCAAGGGCCCCCAGGCCTCGTGGGGGGGGCTCCCAGGCCTCGTGGGCCATCGCAGGGGGCTCCCAGGCCTCGTGGGGCTTTCCAAGGGCTCCCCAACTTCGCGCTTTCCAAGTGCGAATAACTTCGCGCTCTCGCGCCGCCTGGAGAAGAGGAGGATGAGGAGGAATCGGAGCCGAACCGCGAAGCGCGAAGAACTTCGCGCCCTCGAGGGCGCCCTTGTTTTCGGATGGACCAGGAATGTGGGGGCCCCTGGGACATACGATGGGGTGCGACTATACCCTCGATAGGGGTTCGTCCGCACGGCCCCCTTGGGGTGCATCCCAGGGTTCCCCTCCTTTTCTGAGTGGCTTCGTTGTTCGTCGAGAAGTCGGGGGAGAAACATCGCCTGCGAAGGAAGATGAAGACCGCAGCCCAGACCCCCTCGAGTCATGAGCAGCATCGCGAAGGGAGGCGTCTCGCTCCGCTACTGTCGGCCTCTGGGGGCCCTCTACCGGCCCTCGGGGCCATCCCAAAGACGCCTCGGTCCAGACCGCTGGGGGTCTACGGCAGGACACATTCATGACGTCGGGGGTCTGGGAGCGCGGATGTTGGGCGCTCCGCGTCGTTGCGAATCGGCGAGCGGGGAGCCAAGGGCACTCACTGCCCCCATGGCTCCGGTTGTCCTCACAGCTGCTCGCACCATTCCCGCGCAGAAGTTCGCCACGGCGCTGACACGCTGCGCGCGACCAGTCGAATCGACATCGGATCGCCTCGCCTGGCTCCGGCTGGCCCCAGCCAATGCCAGTGAATCCTACCGAATCGAATCGGATCTGAGTCGCGGTCTCATACGGCGAATGGAATCGCACCGAATCGGATCGGAGGCGGCCCTTTCAGGTCTCAGCGTTCACCTGCACACCACCTCGGGTGAGAGGCCACGTGGGCTGGTGGCCCAATTGTCTCCAGAGCTCGCCCCTGGCTGGGTCCAAGAAGAGGCCAAGACCGCAGACGAGCTATGCTTACCCCCCACGGCCACACCGCGTTCCTCCCCAGACGGCCACGATACCCCCCAAAACCTACCCCTGGCAACACTGCGCCCTCAAGACGGCCTTGAGACTCCGGACAGTATCCTCACATGCCCCAAAGAACCACAAGGTGCCCAAGAAACTCTTCAACAAGCCCATGGGGTGCCAACCACGCTGAAGGAACGTACTAGGAGGACGTCAAGAATACGCCTACACCGATCCCGGCTAGGCCTATCCTGGGCCTAGGATTGATTCACCTAGCCAGGATCGGCGCATGTGCATGTATTAGAGAGCACTTTTTTACTCGCGGCGATAAGGGGCGTTATCGGGGGGGTGAGGAGGGGCATGACGTAACGCCCCGCCCGCCCTCCGCCGTGTGGGTCCGGCACCACAAACTGCGGTGTCGGACACACTGCGGCAGTGCTGGGGACGCAGGGGGAGCGTTGCGTCTTGGGCGGGGGGGGGGGGCATGACGCGCGTCATGGCCCAGTGGGGAAAAGACAACCTCGGCTACACGCAACGAGTGATCCTGGGTAAGAGTGACCTTGAGTGCGCGGCTTTTGGGGGCCGCGGGGGGACCAAACACAAGCGCGCAAGACGCAACTACCGCGTCGCGTTCGGCGATCGGGGGACCCCATTTGGCCCGCACCAAAGGTCACTTCGGCGAAAGGTCACTCTCACATCTAGTCGACAATCTCGCATCACTCCCCGAATGCAAGCTGTAACACCGTTTGGGCCATAGCAGCCGTCGGCTCTGGCCGGCCTTCCGGCCGCCCCGGGTGGTGCCCCAGCGGGTGGGCCAGGCCAGGAGGCCCCCGCAGTCTGCGCCCAGCCCAGGGCACCCCCCAGGACGGTGTGGCACCTCCTCCTCCTCCTCCTTCCTCCTTCGCCTCCTCCTTCCTCCTTCCTCCTTCCTCCTCCTCCTTCCCTCCTCCTCCTCCTCCTCCACCTCCTCCTTCCTCCTCCTCCTCCGCCGCCTCCTCCTCTTCAGCCGCGCCCACGTGCGGCCGCGCACCGCGAAGGGGTATGGCGCAGACCCTCCACGCCTGCCCCGAGGCCACCCGGCGACGCA